GTGTGTGTGTGTGTGTGCGAGAGAGTGTGTGTGTGTGTGCGAGAGTGTGTGAGCGTGCGAGAGAGTGTGTGAGTGTGTGTGAGTGTGCGAGAGAGTGTGTGTGTGTGTGTGTGTGTGCGTGAGCACTACATCGCATACTGTTAAAGCCTGCTACCAAACTATCAACTCTGATTATGAAAGCAATTCCAGCCATACTTCCTTTATCTTCATCAGAACCATCAACAGTCAGATCACGATGTGCATTCAAGTCCCAGCTTGTCCACGGCCAGAGCAAATATCCACTTCTGTGTGAACTGAGGTCATGACAGTATTTGTTGTTAAAAGACAATCCTCTAAAAGTTATATCCAGGAGCGTTCTGTCTGTCTGAGGGCTGTGAAGTACCATGACACGAAAAGAGAATGTGAAGAGCGTGACGATCTAAATTAAAGGCAAATTAGAAGAAGCTTCACTCTCCACCGAACTCGACTGATAGTGTGTGTGTGCGTGTGAGTGTGTACTCATCCATAGCGCGCGCGCGCGCACACACACACACACACACACACACACACACACACACACACACACACACACACACACACACACACACACACACACACAGAGTCTCGTCAGACAGCGTGTGCTGTGCAAATATGGATTTCTCTTTCAAGACGTGCGTTTGAACTAACAAACTAACAAAAAAAATAAGTGAACATGCCCGTGTTTGAGAGTCTCCTTGCAGACATCGTTGGCCGTGTCTTAAGTGAGCGTAAAGTCGTGTATCAGTGATCTGTGAGTTAAGTCTTAAAGGAACAGCAGTCGAATCTTGCTATCTGTGTTTTTAATGTTAAACAACAAAAAGACAAGAAAATCACTCACTTCTCTTGATGTAATAGCTTTTGTAACTTATACGGTGAAATATGCACTGTTATTTTACATGCGTTTACTTTAAAATTTCTGCACCTGAAAATTACTGAAAGACACTATTTTATTAGCATCTTTGCTCTATTGTATTTATTTGTTAGGGCTGCACAATCAATCAAATTTATAATCGCGATTACAATTATGGATGCCACAATTACGTAATCGTTCAAAGCGGCAATTAATCATTCAAAGTCCACTTATGTTATTCTGCGCTTTTTCTTTCTACATGATATCTTAGTTTCAGTATAACATTATAATACCATTCATATTTGTACTCTTTTATAATTTAAAGAAGAAACCAATCCGGTGTATAGTTAACATTAGAGGCTTAATACTATAGAAAAGCAGTTTTCAGCTTGTTTATGATCATAATACGGCACGCAGTTGCATCAAACAATGATATAAACATCATTCAATGTAAATTGTGATAATCGTAATAATCACAATTTCAAGGAAATAATCGACAACTTTGATTTTTGTCTAGTTCTATTATTTGTTATTATTTCTGTATTTTTATTTGACCATAGTTTTTTCCCCTGAACATAGCACATACTGAACCGTAAGGTTCTTCTTTATTCTCTAACACTAACGAATAAACAAGCAACACCAAATAAAGTGTGACATCTCTGTTTGACGTGAATTATGCTGTGACGAAGCGAACTTAGACTGTCCTGATTCAAGCCTACATGAGCAGAGATCTGCGACGGAGAACATCTGAAAGTACTGATAAAGCTGTGCCTGTGTGACTGAAATCGATAAACTGGGTTATTGATCAGTCCAACACATGGGACTCTAGAGCAGCCGTATGACACACATCCCAGATGCTCCGTCTTCATCTGAAGGGTTTCACTCACAAACACCCGCTCCGACCACATGAACTCATATGAAGCCTGCAGACAGAACCGTGCACCGGTGGACATGTCTGACACGCTCAGTGCTGGCCATGAAGATGATGAAGATGAAGATGATGCAGTTCACCCAAAAACATCGTGTCATTCAAACCTGTGCTTCTTTCTTCAGAGCAACACAAAAGATGACACGGTGATCAACTGTTTCGTCCACACAATGCAAAACTACATAAAAACAGACTTCAACAAAAATCAGATCTCCACTGAAGAACCAGAGAGGGTCACAGAGTGAACTGTCCCATCAGTGCTGCTGCCACGCCAGAGGTCAAGGGTCGATGCCTGTCACGTTATGCAGATCCATCAGCATCCGTGACGCTCCACACGGGTTTCTGACCGAAACCAGCTGCACGACCCGTCTGAGTTCACTCTCTAGTGTTCACTGCACAGCGCAGGAGGCGCTGGGACTGCAAGCGGCGGGGCGTTGCGTGCGAGGCCGCACTTCTGCAGCGTTACTCGCGTCTCTCTCTGCATTACACCGCTAGCGCGCAGCCCCCCACCCGCCATCTTGGGCCGACCCAAGCAGCCATTAGCCCGCACACACACCACCGCCTCCGAAACACTCGGCGAGTCTTCCTCCGCCGCCTGACAGACGCGCCACAAACGCCGCCGGGGAACTACCGGCCGCACAGATGACGGACCCTGCAGAATAAACACGGACGCGCTGCTGGACGCGTCGCGTTAGCCTGTGTTTGTGAATTCAATGAATCGCGCGACACTGACACTGACAGAGCGCGACGCGTGCGATCGGAGGGCGGCGACGCGGCCAAAGCTAAATCGAGCGCGTCAGCCGCGCGACTCTGAGGAGACGATACAGGACGCGTCGCCGCCCAGACCGCACACAGCCTCGAGCTCGGAAACCCTGGCCCTCGCTGTCATTCCGCACCGCGTGCGTGCGTCGCGAAGCGTTGATTCTAGCGCGCATCTTTACCTTCAGGAGCAGGGCCTTCGTGCTGGCGCCATCTTCACGCAGCCGCTGGCGTCCGAACAGAGAGCTGCGAACGAGAGAAACACACACACGGGGCTCAGGATCTCACACACACCTCACTCAGAAACAATGAAAAGCAGTCTACAGACGCCCGCGGCTCCGACCTGTCGACGCGGGCCAGAGCGTCGCTCTCCTGCGCGCTGAGCCGCGGCGCGTCCTCCTCGGGTTCGCTCGCTTTTCCCGCCGCCATTTTCTTCTCCTCATCGGCGGCGGCGGCGGCGGAGAGCGGCACTCGGCACGATTTCATGGAACCGCGCCGCGAGATCGAGGGAAGGCGAGCTCCGTGCGTCCACAAGCCACAATAAACGCCGACTTTTCTCTCTCCAGTGAATCTGAGCCCCGTGCGCAGTGAGCTGGCCCTCCAGCGGCGCGGCGCCTCACATCGCTTTGCAGGAATAAGCTGTGACGGCGGCTCAGTGTCGATGCGCTGCCCGTTGCACGCTTAAAACCGCGGAACGTATTCAAACAATCTCAAAGTTGTGTTCGCGAGCGGATTAAAGTTGTTGTAATTGTGTCACACAGGCGAACCCACGCCGTCGCCACGCCCTCCGGGGCCCGACAGCCAATCGCTGCGCAGAACGCCAGCGCGTCACTGGCCTCGTCCCGAAATGTTGTGCTCCGGTCCTTTCGGTGATTTTGTGTCCTGTAACGATCGCCCGAGCGCGCGACAAGAAACGTCCGAGACACGGAAGGGTCCCAGAAACACTGGCTCCCGAGCGGCTCATTTGCGTTGAAATGTAGCTAGAGGTGTGGAGTAATTATAAGCGGACGCTCTGTCTGGTGTCTGAAACACTGACGTGGCTGTAGGCGGAGCTCGCAGCTGTCAACATCACCTGACGCCGTGACGTCACGCGCAGCACCCAAAATGGCGGAACAACAACACGCCGCAGCTGGGCGAGAGTCGAGTGTTTCGCGGCTGTTGTTGCACTCTAAAGCAGTGTAAAGCACTCTAAAGCACTCTAAAGCAGTGTAAAGCAGTGTAAAGCACTGCACGCGTCGTGTGGACTACATAAAATAACCTGACGCGTCGAAAGCTCCTCCTAAACTGAGACTGAATGAGCTCGTGTCAGTTCTGTTGGGTCAATCTCGTCCTGGCCACAAAAATATAATCACGTTCTTATTCAGTATTGTGGGTTTTTATACGGCTAATATTTTAGTCTTAAGCTATTAATGTTACGACATAAGGTTACACTGTTATTTTAGTCTATGCTTACACTCCACATTATATACACTACTGTGCAGAAGCGATATGTTCACCAACAAAACATAGTTTAAAGTCAGTTATTTCTGTCGTTTGCTGTAGTGTGTCAGAAGGAAATATCAGTTTACATTTCCAAACACTGATTGTAATAACGCAGTGAGATGTCTGCATCTGAGCTGTCTGAGATCTCATGCAGAAACAGAACAAACGAGACAGACTCGATCCTGAAGAATCCTGCGTGTAGCAGTGCCCTCTGTTGCTTATGAATAGTTATATCTCATAAAGCCTCCTGTTTTCAGGCCCCTGAGTCTGTGAAGAAAAGCAGTGTGGTATGGCGTGGCCTCTCCAGTTAAAGCGTCTTCCCATCATGCACCTGAAGATCTGCTGGCCTGGACCCTGCTGACCCGGGCAGCACTCGGTGGCTTCTGCGCTCATGTAGTGTTGGATGATATGGAGGTGAAAGTGAGCTCTTCACACCGAGAGTCCGTCTAAAACACTTCTGTTTATGCTCATCATCTCTGAAAACAGCTGCAACACGGATGGCAAATTATTATTCTCTGCTATTGCTCGTGCGGGTTTTTTGTTCTTGGTGAAGTTTCTGTTGTATTTTCATGGCCTTAATCCAAACGTGTTTGATAAGATTTCATGTATCTACATGTGTCCCTGCAGCACAGAAGCAGTGTTGAGTCGCTGGGGGATATTTGTAGCAATAGCCAACAATACATTGTATGGGTCACAATTATACATTTCTCTTTTATGCCAAAAATCATTAGGATATTAAGTAAAGATCATGTTCCGTGAAGATATTTAGTAAATGTCCTACCGTAAATATATCAACTTAATGTTTGATTAGTAATATGCATTGCTAAGAACTTCATTTGAACAACTTTAAAGATGATTTTCTCAATATTTAGATTTTTTTGCACCCTCAGATTCCAGATTTTCTAATATTATCCGATCCTAACAAACCGTACATCAATGGAGAGCTGATTTATTCAGCTTTCAGTTGATGCATACATCTCAATTTCACAAAATTGACCCTTAAGACTGGTTTTGTGCTCCAGGGTCACGTCTCTGTTTGTTCGCTCACGGTTGCTTTAATGTAATTCCATTCTTTCGCTCGAGGTGCAGCTCCTGAAACAATATAAACAATACATGTGCTTATCAATTTAGTGCACTTTACAGTTATTCATATTAAAATATGTTGAACCATTGTTTTTTCAAGCTGAATGAGCAGTTCAGTCTTCGTGTTTGACAAATGTAATTGTAATACTTCACTTGCCCTGTATTTGTCTTTGTCTACTTTCTGTCTCCTTATTAATTTTACTGTTCTCGTTTTGCTCTTTCATCTGTCCGTTCCGTAATGTTTGGATGGTATCTTCATTAAGTAATCTTAACACTGAAAGCTTAATATGCAGAATGTCATCGCGTATTGCTGCTTTAATACAAATAAAATTATAAATACTTTTAATGTATATATATATTTTTATAATGTACTTTTACTCATTTGAAATTACTATTAATTTTTATGGCAAATATGATTTTATCTACCCACAGCAGGATCTGATGTATGACATACACTGGAATCTAACAATGCTGTTCATCTGAAAAAAGCAGAAGCACGTGTCCTCTATTCTCTGAACCTAACTCCTCAGACATCGGTGTCTCATATTTTAGAGCAGTCCCTGCAATTTATGAAAGAAATCAATTAAATCTGTGTGTGAAAATAATTCAAATGCTTTGTAATTGTTAGCATTTTCACAAGTAACTAATTTTCTCAGTGACTGATTACAATTACATTTATTTTGTAATTAAATTACATAATTCCCTGACAAGTAACTAGTTACTCCCCAACACTGCGCATGAAGGTGAATTTAATTGAAAATACTTAATTTCAGCAGAAACACAAAGTCAAGGTCATGTGGCTGGACTGAATGCTTGATCAAAAAGCATCTGCAGAAGAGAGATTATTAGCATAGTAATATATCAGATGGCTTCACCATGCTACTCAGTAGCTACTCAGATTCATGCACCAGGTATTTATATAATGGTTTATATATTTATAACGCGGTTCAAAGAATATAAAAGAAAGAAAGAAACATGGCACTGATGAAATAAGTTCAGCATATGGCTTTAAAACTGTAGAATCAAAGGAGTTTAACATGATTAATATAATATAATTGTGTTAGGAGATGTGTGCTGTTTGAAGGAACATGAGTTGTTCATAAGCTGCAGGTGTTGGTCTTATTAAAGACGCATTTCAGGCTAGTTTTCATTGGCTTGTAGGTAAATATTCCACTCTATCCAGCATTGTTTGTACTCTGTGTTGATTTCGAGTTATTTTACTGCTCCAAGCGACTCTAACCCTAACCCTGACTCCGACTCATTGAACAGAACCGACTCAACCGAGTGAATCTTTCACCGATTCACCAATCTAATTCAAATAAAATGACATCAATATGAACGTTAACAAAGTAACATATAGATGCATAACATACCCATGCATGAGTTTTTTCGTTTTTATATTCACTGCACAAGCAATGTTCTTTTCTGAATATCAGCACAAATGTGCTTTTAGGTTTATACAACAGTGCAGAGCAACACGGCGTTTCGTTCCCTGAATGAATCAGAATTAGAACGAATCGAGTGAGTCAGTGATTCAGCAGTTCATTCAGATGGACTTGTTTCGTTTCTAACTGAATCAGCCGTTTTGAACGAATCGTTTGATTTGAACGATTCAATAACTCATTTATTAAAACACGGACGTGCTTTTTAAAAAACAAACTTATTTAAAAACACATTATTTTCCACATACTGTACATTATTGTTTCTCCTCTATGCCCCGCCTTTCTGAAACACGTCGATTTTTACAAAGCTCATCGGTCTGAAAAGCGAGGTGTGCTGTGATTGGCCAGCTATCCAGTGCGTTGTGATTGGCCGAATACCTCAAGCGTGTGACGGAAATGTTACGCCCCTCACCATACTGTGCTGATGCCTGCAGCAACCACATGTGACGACCCCGGGCTGGACTCCGATATCCTCCTCTTTTGGAAGACCAAACAAAGTAGTTTCGCTTTCACAACGAAGCACACAGCGTCTTCACGACATGGCGGCGGCAGCAACAATACTACAGCGAGAATAAAAGTTACGCCTTCTTTC